TGACTTGGGTCAATTGCGACTCTCCACAGCTTTTGAACCCTGCGATATCATCTCAGACTGAGGAATCACTTCCTGGTACGTCAAGGTCTTCTTCTGATCATAAATTATCTTCTCAATCACGCTCAGAGTCTCAATCGTCATCCGATAGACAACAAATTGTTAAAAGTAAAATTAAACCTAAGCCTGATGTTTAAAAAAACCCCAAAGTGGCAGAGCCCCAAAAGGGTCGCAAAATAAAATTCAGTTGTTCAACAAATATGGATCTCTTGAGGACATGGACGTACCTGAAAACGTCCATTCTAGGGCACATAGCTTGTCGCCCTCCAAACAAGTGCGGGGAAGATCCCCAAAAATCCCCCCAAAAGATAGTTTATTCCAATAGTGTTGTGCAGTGGAACTGCAGAGGACTGAGGACTAATTTAAGCGATTTACAGCTATTAGTCCAAGATTTTATACCATCAGCGATCTGTCTACAGGAGACACATTTAAAACAGACAGATACTTTTGACCTTCGTCATTTTAATGCATATCATTGTTTTTCACCTCCGGGTGATCGGGCCACTGGAGGATCTTCCATCCTAGTCAAACAGAACGTTATCAATAGCCCTGTTGCACTTACTACTAATATTCAGGCAGTGCAATGCGACTAACTTTGCACGTTGCGTTTACATTATGCTCTCTCTACATATCTCCGTCTTCAACGTTTCACAAAACTGATCTTCAAGCTCTATATTACCAACTCCCGAAGCCCTGTATTCTTTTGGGAGATTTAAATGGGCACAACCCACTCTGGGGTAGTGCAAATACAAACGCTAAAGGTAAATTACTGGAGGAGTTTTGTTCAGATAACGATTTATGTATTTATAATGATGGTTCCAACACATATTTACACCCTGGTACAGGAACATATTCTGTTCTCGACTTGTCAGTCACAAATTCAGAACTACTAAATGAATTTGAATGGTCAGTTCACGATGACCTATGTGGAAGTGACCATTTCCCTACTATACTAAAACATGTAACTCCATCTGATGTACCTCCATCATCAAGGCGGAATTTTAAAAAGGCTAACTGGGCTTTATATGAAACACTGTGAGCTACAAAACTGAAACCTGAACTTTTTATTGACGTTCCTGATGATATTAACTGTTTTTCTGATGAACTGAATACCTTAGCTGATGGGTGTATACCACAGTCCTCTGCAAATCCACATATCCGAAAACCATGGTTCAACAATGAGTGCAAACAAGCTAGGAAGGCTAGGAAAAAGCAGAACATTATTTCCGTCGCCATCCTATGGTGCATAATTTAAATAAATTTAAAATGTTAAATGCTAAAGCGCGGCGTACCTTTAAACAGAATAAACGCCAATCTTGGCAAAATTATGTATCCAAAATAAATTCTCGAATGCCCATGTCGAAGGTTTGGAACATGGTCCAGAAAATTAAAGGTAAAGGTACTAAATCTAGTGTCCATCATCTTAAACATGTAGATCAATTACTTACCAATAAATCAGACATTGCGAATAAACTGGGTGAAAATCTCGCTAAACACTCTCCCTCTTATGTGCCTAAATTCCAACAATATCAAAAACAAGAAGAAAAGAAAACTATTAATTTCAATTCAGATAATGGGGAAGATTATAATGAAACATTTTCTATTCATGAACTCCATACTGCTCTTGAGCAAGCTCACGATACTGCTACAGGTGCTGATAACATACATTATCAACTCCTGAAACACTTACCAGAATCATGTTTAAAGACGCTCTTACACATTTTTGATGATATTTGGACGTCAGGGAAATTTCCTTCCTCATGGCGTGACGCTATAGTAGTATCAAAACCTAAAGCTGGACGTGATCATACGGATCTATCCAATTATCGACCGATTTCACTAACAAGCTCTGTTTGCAAAACCATGGAACGCATGATAAATAATCGACTTGTTTGGTACTTGGAAACTAATAACCTTATAACAGATATACAATGTGGTTTCCGTAAAAACAGAAGTACTGTCGATCACCTAGTGCGTTTGGAATCACTTGTTAAAAACGCACTATTTAATAAACAACACACTGTGTCTATCTTTTTTGATCTTGAAAAGGCCTATGACACTACGTGGAAATATGGCATTTTAAGAGATTTAGATGGCTTCGGATTGCGAGGCCGTTTGTCTCAATTTATAACTAACTTTTTAAAGGACAGACAATTTCAAGTCCGCGTGGGTTCTACCTTGTCTGATCATTACAATCAGGATCAGGGTGTTCCACAAGGCAGTATTTTGTCTGTGACTTTATTTAGTATTAAGATCAACAGTTTATCCAAGGTTTTAAATGATTCAATCGATGGATCACTTTTGGTGGATGATTTTAATATTTCTTGTCGTGGTAAAAATATGCATACTATTGAACGGCAACTGCAGTTGTGTTTAAGCAAGATAAATAAATTGTGTCTTGAAAACGGCTTTAAATTTTCTAAATCCAAAACTAATTTTATACATTTCTGCCGTAAATACAAACCGCATAAAGACCCTGAACTATCTCTAAATGACACACCCATCAAAGTTGTGAAGGAGGCCAAGCTCTTGGGTATTAGTTTTAACTCACACTTAACGTTTCTACCATATATTAAATCCCTTAAAACTAAATGCCTGTAGGCACTTGACTTGTTGAAAGTCGTTTCCAATTCTAAGTGGGGAGGGGATCAAGCTACCCTCCTACATCTATATCGATCACTGGTACGTTCCATACTTGATTATGGTTCCATCGTTTATGGTGGAGCCTGCAAAAGCAACCTCAAACTATTAGATTCTGTCCACCACCAAGGTCTCAGACTTTGTCTTGGGTCCTTTAGACAGTCTCTACCTTGAGGCCGATGACCCATCTCTTACACAACGCCGTATAAAATTTTCCTTGCAGTATGTAACAAAACTATATTCTAATGAGTCAAATCCTGCATTTAACTGTGTTTTTAATCCTCTTTATGAGGATTTGTACAACAAAAAGCCTTCTCTTGTTCCGCCTCTTGGTTTGCGAATTAAACCATTCATTTCTGCAATGCCGAAAATATATCTCCTTCCCGTCTTCTTTCTTCTCCTCCTTGGCAACTGGTGAGGCCTGAAGTTGACCTAACTCTGACAAAGTTTAAGAAATCTGTAACTAATGAATTACAATATAAACAAGAATATAATCAATTAAAAAATAAATATAATACATACAAATACTTATTTACAGATGGGTCCAAGGATGGTGGCGCGGTGGCATGTACCACTGTCATTGGATCCTGAACAATATCTTCTCGACTACCAAATAACAGCTCTATTTTCACAGCAGAATCTAACGCCATATTAACAGCTCTTAAATATATTAATAAACACCGTAAATATAAACAATATATACTATTTTCCGATTCTCTTTCGTGTCTTCAGGCTATTAAAAATCTTTCTTATAAACATCCACTTTTATTAGAAATTATTGAATTGTATAATGAGCTTGCTACTGGCCAATGCGACATCGTCTTTTGTTGGTTACCCAGCCACGTTGGCATTTCTGGGAACACAATGGCCGATCTTGCTGCTAAGGCAGCACTCAACAAATCTGTGACACCACTTCTGATCCTATACTCTGACTACAAAGCTGATATTAGATCTTATATCCGTGATCTGATGCAAAAGAAGTGGGAAAGCCAAGTAGGTATCAATAAATTACATGCCATTAAACCAACTATCGGTTACACCTACTTGGGTTGTCAGTCCAGATTTGAAGAGGTCATCATACGACGATGTCGTATTGGCCACACAAGATAAACTCATGAGTACCTATTAAAAGGTGAGGATCCTCCGTTTTGTATCCCTTGTGATGAAAGAATCATGGTCAAGCATGTCCTGCTTGACTGTGTTGAATATTCCATCACAAGGGATATCTATTTCAAATCACAAACTATGAAGGATCTTTTTAGTAATATAAGTTCTCATTTAATTATTGCATTTTTAAAAGAATTAGACTTGTTAACTGATTTGTAAATAGATACATATTTTATTATTGGTAGTTTAGATTAGTAACTGAGATTGTTAGTGGCTGTACCCTCAAAGGGGGTTGAAGTAGCGTAAAATTATTGTCCCCCTGAGAGGGTACGTAAGTCCCGAAACATTCAAAGGAAATTTAAATATTACCAGCTGTTTTAAATGTAGTATTCTTGTGATTTTAATTTTGGCTAAATTTGACTTCAATCGCCAGCGGCTGAAGGGGTGATATAAATCCAACTAGGGTCTATGCAGGTAGCAACAGTACTGTAAGTCCCCATGGTCCCTAGTTTGGTGATCTACCTTCAGTTGTTGGCGATCTATAGCCAGTTTTTGTATTGTATTGTCCAAATAGTGCTATTAGTTTTAATTTTCCACACTAGTTTTAGTTGTAATTGTGATATTATAGTTGTTTTACTGTCCTTCGTCGACAATTTTTTATAATATACATCTATTCCATTTCAATGTCACATATGTTCTCGTCACAATATGGCTGGAATATTGCCGATGTGACTTTAAATAATAACTCACTCACTCACTATTGTTAAAAGCATCGTAAAATCATATCCACTCACTGTTTCAAGTCATGTCCGAGGAATTTAACGTCGTACTTAAGATTATTTCACTCAGAATGACGACGTGCATGCATGCGTGTGTGTGTGTGGCCGCTTGTACTAGACCAGACTTAAGCTGGTTTTATAGTGGTAGCTCACTGAGACACCATGCCGCAGTTAAGCATGAATACCCCAATCAGACACATATTGACTCCGAGCCGACCAGTCCTTGTACCCATTAATGCCGAGCGCCAGGCAGGAACCAACAAGTACTGCATTTTAACGTCTTTTGGTATGACGCTGCCGGGGATCGATCCCGCGACCTTCCACTCTCCGGGCGGACGCTCTAACCACTACACCACGGAGGCGGTACAACTAGGGGATTAAAAGCAATATAACCTAAAGTATAAAGAGAGTGGTTACCTGTGACCCATTCCGACTTGTTGTATGAGTAGTTCTGGGCTTAAATCAGAGCTGTTGACTGTATTAAGAGAACAGTCAGAATTTCCAAAGTTGAAATCAAATGATTTACACAGTGTCCATCCGTGACAACGTTGTACGCATTTTAGAAGAGACGAGTCTATCAATTGTTTGCTGAGTTCCAAAGATACCAACAGGTTACTATCCTTGGCAAGCTGTGGGATCTTGTTCAAGTCAGTACATACATTGGTGTCGACTAAACGTGAACATGAAGATACAATACAGAAAAGCAAGATCCGACTGCACATCTTGAGAAGTCTAGTTATTCTAAGGCCCACATACACGTGCGGTCAGGATGGAACAGTGAATACAAGTCTTCGTCTTCATGCAGCAGTATATTCCCAATGGAAACAGCAAACCTTTTAACATGATCATGTCATGCACCATGATCATGGTGTTAGGAGTTCAGCCGTATTGAATGCCACTTTATGATATTGGATTATAACGAGATCTTCGAACCGTTTGATCTACAAGCGTTGCCTCTTGTTTTACCTTCAATGCAATGTTTGTTACTGAACTGTTCGTCATTTCCGACTTAATAACCCCAACTCATTTCCTTCTGTATTCTTCTACTGTTTGTAAGCCTATTAGCTGATAGACTCAAAAGAACCTTTGAAAATTGTTCTGTGGTAAATTACATTATGCATATTTCATTTAATTTGACCTACACATGGTTATAGACACATGTTCTGTAAACATAATGGCAATGTTTATTGCTGACTAAATAAATGCTTTATTTCGGTCTATACGCCAACGGACCAAAATACAATCTAAAAAGCATAATACATTTTCTCAAGGATGCACTCTAAAGGTTTGTTATTTAAATATTTTTTTTGAGTTTCTTAAAACACAAGAAAGCTATATCTTACCAAGGCTAGAATATTGTGAATGCTGTGTTATGGAAAGAACTGGAAACCTTACGTTTCTTTCTGTGGACTATTTAATATAATAGCGGAGAATAAAATGATGTCTTAAACCTGTATGAAATAAACAAATGCAGCAAATGTATCATAAACCGAAACATTTCCAAACCCAAATCTAAGTAACATTTGCTTAACACATACATGTAAAACCCAGCAATCAGTTCTCCAAAAGATCTGTTCTCCCGCGTGACCTGTACCATAAATTGTAATACTGTAATGTGAATGACGGATTGCTAGTTTTCAAATTTGGCGCTATGATGTTTTGTAAATAATATTGTAATGAGTAAAATATTTTTAAAACCTCACCTCATTTAAGGTTTGTACTTGAAATGTTTATGCATGCAGACTTGGTCTGGTCGCTATATGGCTGAAATGATGCCGATGCGACGTAAAACACATCTCAACAGCAACAACAATAACAACAACAACAAGAACTTTTTGTCCTAAAGTATATTGATGACAGTATATTTGTTTAGAAATAGAATTATTTTGCTGAACTAGTAGTCTTGTCCAGTATCTAATAATTTTAACTTCCTGAATACCAACCTAGTTCCATACTAGCTGCAATATTTGGCGTGGAATTCTAAAATAACAGTCACCGTCAAGTACATACAAAATGTTGCGTAGCCGGTGAAACAAACATATGTATAAAACTGGAAATATCTGACTAACCAAATGCCTTTAAGTGCTTAGGCAATGTATTTCTGTTTGTAATCTTCAACGAAGATCTCAACGAAGTTCTTTCTTCAATGCTTAATGTGTCAGTCTGTTGAGTTGCATAATCATGCCAGAACAGAAGATAAATATACTTATAGGTAGGTGCAATATTTATTTTTTTCTTTTTAAGCATAAACCTCGCATGTTTGCTAAAAATATACCATCTCCACCAAATTCAAACTAAAGTTTTTCAATGTCAATTTTTCAACTGCCATTTGTCACAATAAAATGGCAGTTTATCAGTTCATTTCTGAAGAACTGTTTCAGAACTATCAGCAAAATTGAAGTCATTTGCAAATACATGAATAAATATATAAAATTCAAAACTGATACTTCTTTGGCCATCATAGCTAAAAAAAGACTTGTATAAAATTGGTGAACAGGAATGGGATAACAAGCAGCCTTCACGAACTCCGAACATACATTCAAAGAAAATATACATCCTTTCCCCAAAGACACACATGCTTTCACATGAGCACATACATTTTATTTGACAATGCATGTGTCTTAGCCTTAATGTTTCTATTACAAAATAGCTTAGAACCGTTTGGAAAACGTTTATGGCGTTTGCGGCGACACAACCATTGAGTGAGTGAGTGAATTTAGTTTTACGCCGCTTTTAGCAATATTCCAGCAATATCACAGCGGGGTACACCAGAAATGGGCTTCACACATTGTACCCGTGCGGGGAATCGAGCCCTGGTCTTCAACGATGAGCGAACGAGCGAATGCTTTAACCACTAGGCTACCCCACCGCCCCCACAACCATTCAGATTGGGTGACAAACAGTTGGCGATTGGCTGGCGTTGAGATGGCGATACCTAGCTTTTAATAATAAACATGTGTTTATCCTCAGGCGTCCAGCGTCCCGTGGAAAGGGTTTTGACGATTTTATTGATGTTGTGAACTCCCCCAAAAAGCATACCTACTGAATCATTGCTATCATTGTTGAATCATGAGTTATGTTTAGAAAATACGCAACTCTTGAAAAAGAGAGCAAAGTAAGGAATTAATGATTATTAGTTTCTTACGTTTTAATAACTATTGATTCAAAGTTTCATAACACTTACTGTTAAGAAACCATCGTGATCACAATTAATGGCAAAAATATCTATCAAAATTGAATAAACATGTCGCATGTCAAGTTATTCTGATGGTGAAGGACGCGGGTCAAATATTTTCAAACATACAATACTACATGGTCGCTAAATGCTTAGATACAACTTATTTGCCATTTTAAATAATGTTTTTTTCTAAATATAACTCGAAATGATAAACGTGATGTTATTGTTTTCATCCCTCTGTGTTTGGTATATCTATATTTAGGACAACAGAATGATTATACTAGTGACCCCGTACAAATTACCAGTGTACCATTAGAAGGCGTCAGTACATCCGTACACAATGTATGCAAGTTCCAATTAGTTTATAATATAAGGATACCTGTGTGAAAAAAACTGAGTTTGGGAGTTGGATTTAACACCCCCGAAACACTATTCAAGTTATATCACGGTGTGTGGTATGAGTGAGTGAGTTTGGTTTTACGCCGCTTTTTGTGCAATATGATAGCAATATCACGGCGGGGGACACCAAAAACGAGGTTCACACATTGTACCCATGTGGGGAATCGAACCCGGGTCTTCTGCAATCGAGCAAACGCTTTAAGCGGTAGGCTACCCCACCGCCCCTCTGGTGAGTATGGGGAGAAAACACGAAGCGATGCAGTCTCAGACCTTTACCACGTTGGTGACAACGCACAACATTGCTTAAATTAAATTGGATAAGGGGTGAGTGATACATAAATCAACTACAGATTTATAACACTAAAAGTCTGTGGCTTGTATTTCTTTAATACGAATTGTACACAAAACACCATACATATTTGCTCAGTAATGACACTGTAATTTCACATCACAGAAAAATGGGCATTGGGTTTGTCCAAACTACTTACATGCATAGAACCCCTTAATTACAAGACCTCGGACAGAATCGTAAATCCCCAATCGCATCCACGGCTTCATAACTGCCCAGAACGTCCTCGACGTTATATCAGGCTGTCAACCTAGACGGTTTACTGAAGAACGTAGAACGTCTACCATAAACAAGGCCGTTGGAAATCATCAGTCATGTGAACACTGTATGTAAGCTGTATGAATGATTTGCTGGAGCATTCCGTCACCATCACGAACCAGGACTTGTTCTGGAACACTTGGTCATATCCATGTAGGAGAGCTTTTGTACAACAAACATCCTCATCTTGATCCTAAATTTGGTCTTTGAAGTTTGTATTATTCTTGTCTGAAGTATTCCTTCTGCAGGTTTTACATGATGTCTATAGGTTCACCGTCAATAGGGTTAACTGAACCTATTAGTGTATCATCATCATCATCATCGTCGTCGTCGTCGTCGTCGTCGGTATTAAGACTTCAATACTAGGCTTTTCACACCATTCCAACAGTCGCAAATTGAAATTCCTTTGTATAATTTCTGTCGATACAAACTAAAACTATTGATAGACGTGTCTGTTCTTTATAATCTTTTGCACCTTGTGGAACCATCATTACGGACCTGGCAGTATCTGTTGGTAGGACAGTTAAGTCCATTACAGGCACCAGCAAAGCTCTTCGGCCACAGCGAGATGGAACTGGAGTTAAGAACAGATTAAAGAACAGAAAAGACATTCAAAATGTTTTGTGGTAAAGGAATATCAACTGGGTGTGGGGGGTGGGCGTGTAAAACTAACTATAATGCTAGACGGAAATGGAACTCCTTTGAGAGGTGTTCAACTTTCTCTGATCAGCTGAACTACAGTACCAGTTAGCGCAGCTTACCAGTTAGCGCCAACACCTGGCTGTAGCGCTAGCACCTACAGCTTGACTTGTACTTCCGTAGTATTTCACATATTTACACATCACAAAAGCGATAGGCTACGAGAGTTAAAATCAACCTGTCTGCGCAAGCGCTACAGCCATGTGTTGGCGATAACTGGAGTGTTTTATAAAATCACGCCAGAATATCCCCCTTTTCCATCCGTTTGTCATATTTTGTAACTGTAATCGGCAAAGCATGATATAATGAAAATGCCAATAATCACAACTGCTATCTTTGTAGTAATCTGCAGGTCTGCAACGGGTTTAAATGGTTCGAAAAAATATTGTTTCCAATGGTTGACATTTCTCGGGATACAGAGACGAATCCTAGGTGTGATGTGAATGCCAATGAGGTAATGAAGTATTACATCCTGAGGTAATACATTCGGTGTTAAGAAACAAAACTGATGATTTGGCAAATAATTTGATATTACAATGTCCCTCAACTGACACTGATGCCTAGTATACTGATTATCATTCACGGGAGGACATTGTGTGCTCTGTCTCCCCAGACCTCGGAATTGCTATCTGTTGTCATATATTGTAACTGTAATCGGTGAAGCATGATATAATAAAAATGGTTATGATCACAACCGCTTTGCCACTAGCACTGAAGTAATCTGCAGCTCTTAATCAGGATTAAATGGTTTGAACATTTATTGTTTTGTTGTTTAAGGTGTAAGTTCGAATCCCAGTCTTTATGGAATCATCACTTATGAACAAAACCTTTGTATCTTAAAGTAACATTCCAGAGAAAGCGGGAATTTCCCTTACAATAATCCATTTTGGTGAACTACAAGCATTTTGCATACCCGTTACCTGATGATGAAACAAACAATGTATATCTCACCGATCAGTTAACAATGCCGTTTTGAAAGGGTTTGTTGTGTTTTTGTTGTTTCCCAGCAATATGGCGTCGGAGTCTGAACCAGACAGTTCAGTGACCAACGGCATAAGTATTGATCTACGCAACTTGGATACGATGACTGACATTTAGACGATGACATGTTACTGGAACCCGCGAGAACGGAATAGTGGGTTGATTATTTATTTTGATAATCTGGAAATCAAATTTAAAAATCAGCAGATTCTGGCATGGTTCAGACCGACAACTCCGAGCGAATACCCTCTAGAAATTGTCTTTATTACTACTCGTGGATTACATCAACGTACGTACTAGTCTCACTCGCACGTTAGACACGTTTTGAAATACACTCACTGTAATATAGACGGGACTGACTGAATCATGATCACTGGATCAAACTCAATTATTTACCGCCGCCATATAGGTGGGATATTGCTTAGTGTGGCGTTAAATAACAAACAAAGAAATATTATATTACGATTATCAGAGGTTAACTGCAACAAACAACAATTAATTTGTTTTTACATAAAATGGATAAGGTCAATGAGATATAAATTTACCTGTGAACTGTTCCTGCTTCAGATATTAGCCTCGATGGCGCAGCATCAGAACTGTTCAGCCTATTCAAAGTACACCTAAAATCTTCGAGGAAATAGTCAAACGATTTGCACAGTGTCCAGCCGAGACATCGACGCGCACATTGTAAAAGAGTGAGTGGTTTCATGGTTTTAAAATAGACGTAATCTATCCAAAGATTACAATTAATTTGCAGTTGTGAAATCTTGCTCATATCAGTGCATACATTGATGGTGTCAACCAAACATGAATACGAAGTAACAATCAGGAAAATCAGGATGACCTGAAGACACATCTTGAAAGCTGTACTAGTGTTCTGACTACTACCTGCGCCCAAGCTGGCTGTGGCAGTAATGTTCATGAAAACCTTCAACCTCAACATTTAACGTGGGATATAATGACCCACAGAATCGTTTAATGCTATATTTAAATGCACACTTAACCGTTGACAGGGATGCATCGGTGTTTAGTGGCGCACAAGAGTCCTATAATTCTTTTCAATTATGTCTTTGTAGTTGCATTGACCCACTGTGAGGTGTTCAACTTTCTCTGATCAGTTGAACTACAATATCTCTTTCCAAAAATCGATTAATCGTTAGTGAAGTGTTTTGATAAAGTGACCCTAGAATATCCCCTTATTTTATATTTGTCCATGTTTCTTATAGTTGACATTTCTCGGGACACAGAGACGAATACTTGGTGTGACTTGAATGCCATTGAGGTATGACGTATTGAATCCTGACGTAATACATTAGGTGTTAAGAAACAAAACTGATGATATGACATTAATTTGATTATAAAACGTTCCACAACTGACATTGATTCCCAGTGTACTGATTATTATTCAAAGGAGGACATGTGTGCTTTGTCTCGCCAGACCTCGGTATTGCTTTCTGTTGTCATATATTGTAACTGTAATCGGTGAAGCATGATATAATAAACATGCTTGTGATCGGTGAAGCATGATATAATAAAAATGGTTATGATCACAACCGCTTTGCCACTAGCACTGAAGTAATCTGCAGCTCTTAATCAGGATTAAATGGTTTGAACATTTATTGTTTTGTTGTTTAAGGTGTAAGTTCAAATCCCACTCTTTAGGGAATCGTCATTTATGAACAAAACCTACAGATTTTAAAGAAACACTCTAGAGGGAGCGAGAATTTCCCTTACGGTAATCCATTGTTAATGAACTACAAGCCGTTTTACACATCCGTTACGTGATGATGAAAAAGACTACGTGTATATCTTCCCGATCTGTGAACAAAGACGTGAGAGCATTTGTTTCTTGTGTAACGCTGCACTCAGCACTATTCCTGATATCTTTAAATACTTGAATCTGGACCAGACAGTCCGGTGATTGGCACCATGAGTAATTGAGATGCGATGACATGTGTCAATGAAGTCAGCGAGCCCGACCACCCGATCCCGTTAATCACCTCTTACGACATGTATGGATTGCTGAAGACCAGTTCTGAACCGGATCTTCACAGGTACTCTTTGAAAGAACCGAGTGCCAATAGCTGTATGCAATGAAGAAGTTAGTGTTAGTGGGAAGTTGTGACAAAACACAAATGGTTTGTATAAAGCTGTATCTGCATCTGAAATACATAGAGATGTCATAAAAAGTAACCTCAAAGTCTTATTCCCAACATGTCTACTTGAAGTCGAATGGCCACATTTAATGTATTTAATGTTTGTCACTGGTAGTCAGTCATCCAAACTGAAAAATAACAATTAAAATCCGGATTGTGAAACAACCTTATATAACAATAATCCAATCAAACCAAATGTACCTATCATTGTTCCGAACGGTTTTATGCAACTTCCCTTTTATGATAAGAGTGAGTGAGTGAGTTATTATTTAACGTCACATCGGCAAAGAAGAATAACAAGGCACCTGCATGCGCTCCTCACTGAATGGGTGTTTTAGCGTACAGTAAATGAAAAAAGGGAGGCCTTCATACTTTAAATGAACTGTTTAGGTTTGAGATTCCTCACTACAGTTGAATTCCATTATCAAATTTCAGCTTTTATTCGAGGAGGACGAATGCTGTGTATCATTTCCTTCTTCGTGTAAACTGCATTATTGACCTTTTTAATGCTACAATCATATACCCATGGCCTTGTCAAACGTCCTTGGTACAAAGACGCATCTAGATTGGATCTTGACTTTGGACACAGATGATCTTATGATCAGACCAAGGAGCGCCAAGAACCATACCACTCATGCTGTCGACAATGGATCTGATTACACTGAAGCCAGATTAAGAGCTGACTATTGAACGGTACATCATTAGTTACACGACTATTTGCCAGATAGTAAGTGATGGTACGGGCGGCCTTACTTTGAACCCTGCATTTCCTTTTGGCGTCATGAAATACGTGTTCAAACGAGGCGTACAACCCCATAGTACCTGGCAAATGGCAATGTGACGAAGTTATTACCCTACAGATTGTTTGAGTGTTTCTTTATGTGCGTTTTCCTGAACCGTTTTCATCTATTTCTCTTGTATTCCAGCTGCGGTATTTGATCCACGATCGATGTCTGAGACGAACATTATCAATCGACACTCAATGAGACATAACTCTTGTTTTAAGAGACTTAAAATAGTGCCAACCTTTAGGCTATATCATAAACTCCAATCAGTTTCCAATCAATAGATAAAAACAACATATTCTAAAACCAAAGTTTCTAAAAATAATTCATGTACTCTCAGAGTATACTCAGAATAATAACGGTACTCAATGAATAATCTCTTTTACATAAAATAGAAAAAGTCAAGAGAAATATTAATTACCTGTGAACTGCTCCAGCTTGAACTTTCATTTTCGATGCATCTACATCAGAACTATTGAGCCGATTAAGATGACACTCAGACTTTTCAAAGTGGACATCAAACGATTTGCACAGTGTCCAGCCGAGACACCGACGCGCACATTGTAAAAGTGTTAGTGGTTTCCTCGATTTATATTGGTAATTACTTATCCAAAGATTATAATTCACTTGCAGTTGTGGGATGTTGCTCATGTCAGTGCAAACATTGGTGGTGTCGACTAAACATGAATATGAAGTAACAATACAGAAAGCCAGGATGACTTGAAGGCACATTGTGGCAAGTTGTCGTACGTTAAACAGAGATGCAATGACCCAAATATACTTATAGGGCTTTTGAAATGTCTACTTGTCAGCTGAGATGCTTCCGAACAAGCAAGTGTGATCATCTCCTATTCAAGTGTATTGTTTTCATTTCAATAAACATGGTCCTATAGTTGCATCGGCACGTCGTAATTCGCTTGCTTTGACCTTCTGGTTGACAATATCTCTTTCCCCTAAAATCGATAAATTGTTACTGAACTGCTTTACCACAACGATCTTAGAATATCGCCTTCTTCTTTATATATATTTTCTGTTTCCAGTAGTTTTTTATTAAAAAATAAACCAAGGAATGTGCGTTAATCATGCATCAACACGAAGGTTGGGGTGGGGATTACTATTGTTAGTATTTCATGTGATGTATTCCTGGAGTCAATGCAGTTGCTATTCGCAGACATTCAATGTCCCATTCAAACACAAGCAAAGGATAAAACTACTCAGTAACTTTAGCAAAGTCGGAAGTTAGGGCGTCTGTAGCTAGATTTTAATGCTGGCTTTGCGCCAGTAGCATTGGCTGCTAAAATTATTTCTGTTATATGCTGTTAAAACCACGACTTGTTAGGGTTTCTGAGTGCCAGCTATCAGAATCCTCCGTTGTAATTTCCAAACACGAACTGTTAGGAACCTGTCACAAACTTCGTACTGCTTGAAATCACTGTGTATGATCATATAACTCAGTACATTGTCAATACAAATGTTAGAGAAGGTGTCCAGTGGCAGAAATATAGAGAAGACAAAAAGTAGATTGGAAAGCAGGGGATAACGATGCACTCAGCAATAGACATTCTAGCACGACATTGTGTGATACTCGATTCTGATTGGCTGAGAGCTCATCAAACCGTACTTAAATGGTAGTTTAAGATCGCTAATTAAAGTGACCGATTCACCACGTATGAATACAAGAACTCGTTGACCCTATTGTTTGTAAACAAACATGTCGGACATCGTCAATTTCTACCACGGCAGCATCTTTGATCTTTTTGAAGTAAAAAACGAATAGTTTGAAGACGAATTTCTTCACCCTAATCCCAGTGAAGAAACTACGAAGCAGGAAAATTCGCCAGCAGCGCAAAATCGGCAGCATTCAAACCGGGTCTAGATCTAGCGGGCATGACGTCGACAACACACGTCGGCCCATACGTCCTAACCTGACCGCTTCCGTCCCGGCCGTAATGCCCAGTCCTTCCACTTCCACTGTCCATGTATCCCACATAAAACGTGGCATGTCAGGTCTTTTCCAAATTGGGAATAGTAGGGTGGTTATCAATATGATAACAATTATTTCCGTTTATAAAGTTAGCGGCGACTAAACTTAGCGAGTTCACGACTTGAATTTGGGCGAGTCGATTGCCATACAATGGGGGAGATAGATAATTCGCTTCAAATAATTGTACTTGCTCACAGTATAAACTGCATTTTTTAATTATGTATGCTACTTGTTACAAATACAAGCATACTGGTTCCTGAAATAAAGCATTTATGTTGTTGAAAATGTCTTATTTGTTCATTACACAACCTGTCCCTGAACGGGACGATTCCAAGCGATTTCCAGGGAAAAGGCCCTTTCACGCCTTGTGTTCTTGCGCGCCACACAGTTCGGTTTTAAACGCTTATCAGTTGTGCTAGAATTAAGATAAAGCTACTCTGTTGACAATTTTGCGGTCCTTTATCATTGATTTATGACCGCTAAATGTTTAATTTAAAACCTCACGCTAACGAGTTCGGTTTTTAATTACCTTTATCAGTCTTACATCAACGATAAAGGACCGCAAAATTGAAAACAGAGTAGCTTTATCTCCTAAATCAAGTGATCAACAACATGAACATCGATCTACGCAATTGGGATACGATGACATGTGTCAACCAAGTCAGTGGGCCTGACCACCCGATCTCGTTTGTCGCCTCTTACGACAAGCAAAGGTTTCTGAGGACCAATTGGCACCCGTGAAGGGCCACCTCCTCGTGGTGGGTGCTGGGTCACGCTAAGCGCCCTTCAAACCCCCGTTGTGGACCCGGGGGAATATTAGGTCCACCAACCCGTTTGCCGTGGGTTGCGCCCCTGTGTCGGTGGAGGA